TAAAATCTTAAAAAAAAAAAAAAAAAGTCTTCATCTTCCTAGGTCTCTATGTAGCTTCCAGCCCTCAGGATAGAGCCTTCCTGTTGAACTCTAGGCCAGCAAAACACAAGGCTCCTTCCTCTCTGCCCAGGAAGGAAGGGTCGTGAGGGTGGTTCACATTCAAGGACAGAAACTGTGTCACCACAACAAAGGGTGGGGTACCTGCTCCAGCTTGCCGGAGACAGGGTCTCTCTAAGGATGTGCTCTCTTGAGATTCATGTTTCTCTTGTTTCCTTTAAGTACTTACACTCCTTGAAGCTAGTGGCCTAGGATAGTCTTCATCTAGGGAGGGATCTCCACCCTAGAAAGACCCAGACTAAGAAAGAAAACTTGGGGGAGGAAGATAATGAGCTCTATTTTAGACAGAAATGTCAAATAGATGGTTATCTATATGGGTCTGGAGCTCAGGAGAAAGGTCACAGATGGAGACAGAGTTGAGTCGTCAGCATACAGCAGGAGGCAACCAAATCCATGAGAATTATTGACATGGCCCAGAAAGAAGACACTGAGTAAAAAGAGAGCCTAGGACAAAACTTTGAGGAACATCAAGTTTCAAGCACTAGCCAGAAAGAAAACTATAAAAGAGACTGGGAGAAGTGCCAAAAGAGGTAAGAGAAAAATTAAGAGAGCTGGTATTGCCAAAACCAAGAATGTGTCAGTAAAAAGTGGACAATCATCAAATAATAACAGGTCATGTAAGATAAGAACCAAAAAGTCCACTGCAATTAGTCACAAGAACATTGCTGTTGATCCTGGTAAGAATGGTTTCAAGTAGCAATGGAGGCAAAAGCCCATGGGTGGAGCAATAAGTAAGAGATGACAATTTTGAGACTTCTAGGAGTTTGGCTGTAAAGGGAAGGACATGAACATGGAAAGGGTTAGGAAGGCAGGGACCAGTGAGAGTCTGGGTCCCAGTAGAAGACAACCAGAGCAACCAGAAGTAAGTCTATAGGGACTTAGACTCTCCTACCACTCCCATAGTCCAGTGTCATGATCTGAGATTTTTTTTCTAGCCTCACTATTCTTTGATTCTCTCCTTCCAGGGATGCTTTAGAAGTCTCTACAAGGTGACATATGAAACAAGCATCTGTGATTCCCTCAAGGGCAGGGACCAACCATATCTGAATTATCTTTGCATCCCCAATGCCTAGTGCCTAGTAAGTACCAAATAAATGTATGAGAAAAGAAAAAGTGAACAACTAAAATCAAGGCCTCTAAAAACCTGCTCCTCCTTATCCTTCTCCAACCCCAACTCCTGTGACATACCCTTCATGCTCCAAAACCTCACCAGACCACTCACTGTCCCTGAATTACAGTAAGCGCTTGCATGCTGCTGTGCTGTCCTGGCAGGATCCTCCCCCAACACTTCCACTTGTCAAATCCTTTGCAATATATGACATATATGACACCTTTCTGCCCTCCCTGCCACCCAAGCACTCTGCCTGACCTTTACTGCCACACTGTTAAGACAGGTATTAGTGGTTTGTTGTGTCTGATTCTCTCCCTGGCCCGTGCAGCAGGCTCTAGGTCCAGTTCCTCCCTATAGCCCCGCTGCTCAAATAAACAGCTCTCCTGTTTGATGGAACACTGGATCAGGGTTGTTTTCTCTCTTGTTCTGAGAGTTAGCTCAGTTTATTGGGAAGAACATTACACAGGGAGCCAAGATCTGGGTTTTAATCTCAACTTTTGTGACTTATGGAAAAATCTCCCTAAACCTATCTCTTCGTTTGTTTAAAAAGAAAAAAAAAATGCTGTAAATATCTCTATCAGAAGGTCTGCTTTTTTTGAGAGAGACTTCTGTCCAGAACCCTAATTCAACAGGTCAGCAACCTACTCTGTGTGAGAAACTAACCCTGAATGCTTCATCTAGCAAAGAAAATCCAGTTATCTTCGTTCTGTCCATTGCTACTCTCCCTGGCACCCATCTTGCCTTCCTCCTCTATGAACTGATGTTTTACTTTTAACCCATTCCTTCTCCTTTCTTCCTCCTTCAAGGAAGAATTTGAGCCAAAGCATGAATGCAGCCCCTATCAAGCCAACACATGTGACCTCCCAAGATAAGAGATCGCAGGGATGGAAGGTGAAGATTAAAGTCTGAGGGGGGAGCGTGTGCATGTGTGTGTGAATATGGACAGAAGTATGTGCTTAAGGAAGTGAGGTATACAACATGAAGGTGTTATTTCTACAACAATCACTCTAATAAAAGTCAGTCCAATAAAAAAAACACTCAATAAATCATGTTTGCTGATGATTAAGAACATCAAAGGAATCCCCACTCTCCCCTAATGGGTTATGTCATTGAAAACAGTGGTTTTAAACTAAATGTCTCCTATGCTGAAGTCAGTTTGGCACCTACCACTAGTAATCACTCACTAAATACAAGGTGTCAAATGGTCCAAATGATTTTCTTTTTTAAATAGATAACAACTTACAGGAGTTACCTCTACAATAAAATAATGTCACTCTCATTATTTTCCAACATGCTTTCTTGAGTGGATGAAGAAAAGATGGAGCTAAAGCTAGTGTATTAGAAACTGCAGACGATAGGCAGCTAGCTGGCTTCTCTGATATACCTGATAGGAATTATAGGAAATGTCTTAATTCATAAAAAAAAAAAAAAAAAAGCACTGGAATTTCTGACAATTCTGGGTTTGCCCGAGTGAGTGTGTTGCACATGTAACATTATCCTGTGAGTCATGGCAAAAAAAATGCCCTGTCCCTCTACAATCAGCCATCTCCATTAACATGCCCCAAGGGTCTCCTCTGACATTAAACCCTTGTTAGTATAATCTGTTTGAGAGAAGACAGGGAGGTGAGAGGGAATGGTGACTGGGGTCAGCATTTCATAGTTCTATCCCCTGAGGAGTACAGACGGACAGATCTCTCAGTTAGCAAACCTCCATTAGACTTAGAAAAGAGTATGGATTCATAGAAACCAGGCACCTGCTAGCCAAAGGACCTCCCATTCACATGGAAACAGCAATAAATCCAGAGGCAGGCAGAAGCAACTGCAGTTGCCTCCTGACCTCAGTAAACCAACTCCCAGGGAGAGAGAACCCACCATCTCTGAATGTAGAAATGAGTAAGTGGTCTACCTACTAGCAAAATGAGCAGGATGCTGGGGCTGCTTCTGAGCATGTGGAACAGGGCTGTTAAGCTAGTAGGAAGAGGGGACTGCCCAGCAGAGGGGACATCATCCAGCTCCTCATAGCTGCTCTCTTCCCAGGAGAACCAAAGTTCCAGGACACGGTGCCCAAACCTACTCATCAGCTCTGGATACAACAGGAAGAACCTGAGCAGGAGGGGATGGTGGATGTAAACCAGGTGCAGGTCAGGGATGTCCTCTAAAAATTTTCTGATGGCACTGACCACAGCCTGGAGACAAAGAAAGAAAAGAAAGGGACTAAATAAATCTTGCAGAGGACCCAAGACAGCCCAACAAACATAGCCAAGACACAACTGGGAAAAATGTACTTGGCATCTCAGTGCTCCAGGACGTCTTCACTAGCTCATCCCAGTGCCCTCCGGTGAGAAGAAAACTCACTGTGCTTATCTTACAACAGTGGTTCTCAAATTAGAGTGATTTTGTTCCCCCAGAAGATTTTTTGAAATGTCTACAGACATTTGTTATTTTCTTGATTTAGGGAGTGCTACTGGCATCTAGTGGGAGAGAGCAGGGATGCCGCTAAATATCCTACAATGCACAGGACAGCCTCCCACAGAAAAGAATTATGTTGTGCAAAATGTTAATAGTGCCAGGGCTGAGAAACCCAGCTCTATAATGACACTTTCTATGGTGTGTTGTAATGATCAGTGTAGGTGTCTACCTCCCACACTAGACTTGAGCTGCTTGAGGGAACAGACTGATGCAGATTCATCTGTGCACCTGGCATTGGACCTGGCACAAAGGGGGCAAAGGGCATGTGTATTGAATCATTTATTAACCCTCAAAAACCTAGCTCTTCCCATTGCACATATAGCAAAATTTAATCCTTAATATGCTATTCTAAGAGTTTTATGGTTCATAGTATGGGCTGTTTCATTTAGGTCTTTGATCCATTTTGAATTAATTTTGTGTATACTATAAGGGTCCAACTTCATGCTTTTGCAGTTGTTCTAGCACTATGTGTTAAAAAGACTATTTTTTCTCCCACTAAATTGTCTTGGCATCCTTATAAAAAATATGTGGGTTTATTTTTGGACTGTCAATTCTATGCCATTGATCTAGATGACTATCCCTATGTCAGAAACACAGTCTTGATTATTCTAGTTTTTTTATTTTTATTATTTTTATTTATTTATTTTTTTAA